TAGAGTCCTTTGCATATATGCCTAACTAAATATCTTGTGCCACTAAGTAAAATCTCCAGTACTAGGAATGGGTTACATCTTGTTAAATCACTGGCCAAAGGGGTCCCATGGAGTACCCCTTTCAAGCATTACAGGCAATTGCCAAGTTTATTGGTTATTCTCCAAAATCTCTGCTAACACTTCTCTCTAAAAAGTTCCTGTTATTCTTTCAAATATAATACTTTCCTCACAGTTAACAAACTGTAGAGTTCTTAGTACAGGTTAGTTTGGCAAACTTAGGGCAATGATTGATATTTTAATTCAAGGCCTATGAAAATTTTGTGGGGTGCATAGTTGAGCACATGTGTACTAAAGTATGAAAGCAGAGTCTGATTAAGTAACAAATATATTATAACACTTGCCTTTGAAAATGTCCTCATACAAGTATATGTATAAAATACAGCATCTGTGGGAATGACTTCAGTTCAGAAAGCAACACTGCTGTTTACTTTCAAAGTACACCTCTTTTAATAACTTACTCCATTCAAAGGAACAGACTTCAAGTATCCATTAAGAAATTGGAGCAACAGAGACATTGGATCCAATTCCCTTTTTCATGACCCTATATGAATAAATGTAACATAACTATATTCAACTCAAAAAACAAAAACAAAGACAGGAGGCCCATCAGTGAGGCCTTCCATGGGAGTAGCAGAGACTGAACAGCAAGACCCTACGTGGGAACAGTAGAAACCCAGAGGTCAGATCCTTGATGGGAACAGCAGAGGCCCATCAGTGAGGCCTTCCTTGGGGACAGCAGAGGCCCATAAATGAGGCAGTCCATGAGAAAACGAGGGGGCCATAAGTATAGACCTCCATGTGAACCACAGAAACCAATAGGTGAGGCCCTCCATGGGAAAAAAAAAGAAACCTAAAAGTGAGACACCGCATGGGAGCAGCCAAAGTCCATAAGTGAGGCCCTCCTTGGGAAGAGCACAGGCCCATATGTGAGGCTTTCATAAGAACAGCAAGTCCCTGCATGAGACTGCTATGGGAAAAACAGAGTCCCATACATGGTCTCTCGACCATTGCCAGCAGTCTTTTGCAGGGGTATCTTTGTGGATCTCCATGGGCCTCCCTAGCTCTCTGCTTCCTCCCCTTCTCATATGGTCTTCATTTACCATGGTCTCCTATTCCTTGTTCTCCCTC